TAGATATCTCAATATTTTGTACACAGCCTCCAGGTGAGCTTTTTTGGGAGAGTGCATATGTTGACTTACCATGCTGACTACGAAAGCGATGTCATGTGATAGGTAGATTAACTTCCCAACAAGTCTTTGGTATCTGTCTGTTTCCGCTGAGTTACCGAAGTCCTTTGTTATTTTTCCAGCCTCAATAGGTGTGTCGCTTGGTTTGCATCCTAGCATCCCAGTTTCAGTTAATAGATCGAGAATATATTTTCTTTGAGAAACACCAATACCCTTCTTTGATCTTGCAATCTTAATTTCTAAGAAGTATCGCATCTGTCCTAGGTCCTTCACTTCGAATTCGGTGGCTAAGCATTTCTTTAGTCTTTCCATTTCAACTGTGTTGTCCCCAGTTAAGATGATATCATCAACATATACAATTAGAATTGTTTTTGCCCCATCTTTAGACTGTTGGAAGAACATGGAATGATCTGATTGCCTTTGCTGATATCCTTGATTTTTTAATACTTTTGCAAATCTATCGAACCATGCTCTTGGTGATTGTTTTAAACCATATAGGAATTTCTTGAGTCTATACACTTGTTTTTCTTCATTCCTTTTGTTGAACTCTGGTGGTATTGTCATGAACACTTATTCTTCTAGCTCTCCATTCAGGAATGCATTATTGATGTCCAGTTGTTGAAGTCGCCAATCTAAATTAATGGCTAATGACAATAGAACTCTGACTGTATTTAGTTTTGCCAATGGTGCAAATGCTTCTGTGTAGTCAATCCCATAAGTTTGAGTATATCCTTTGACGACCAAACGAGCTTTGTAGCGCTCTATAGTCCCATCAGCTTTGTATTTCACATTAAACATCCATTTGCATCCCATAGTTTTCTTTCCTTTCGGTAAGTTTACCATTTCCCATGTTCCATTCTTCTTTAAAGCTCTCATTTCCTCCATTACTGTCTCTCTCCATTGGGTGATCCAAGGCCTCCTGAATACTTTTTGGGATTTCTGTTTCATCCAAGTTAGCTGTAAAAGCACGAAACCCTATAGATAGAGTTTTATAAGACATGAATTTTGAAATAGGATGGAGAGTACAGGATCGAGTTTGTTTCCTGAGAGCAATATATAAATCGTCTGGAGATTCATTGGAGAGGTTCTCATTAGGTCCTATCATCGGTTCAGACTCTCTTGGTGCCTCAGGTGTGAGATTTTTCTTGTACTTCAATTTAGGCTTCCTTGAGTAAACTAGCATCTCCTTGTCATTTTGTTTTCCAACATCTTCCCCTAAGTTCAAGTTGCTTTTTGTATATGGCACATTAGAAGGTGAGGTATGCGTTGGTTTAGAAGGGATAAGGTCAAAGTTTAAGAATTCCCGATCCAAGAACTGATCTTCACTCCCTCTGAATGGAAGGTTTTTAGAAGTAGGGTGTTCTTTTGAAGAAAGTGATATCTAGGCTGATAAATACCTTTTTTTGTGGATGGGTCATAGCATTTGTAGTTCTTTTGAGTGGGTAAGTAGCCAATGAACACACATTTGATTGCACGTGATTCAAGTTTGTTTCGATGATAGGAGTGAATATATACGTAGGCACTGCTTCCAAACACTCTTAGGGGTAGGTTTGAACTAAGGCGAGAAGTAGGACAGTACTTTTGAAATTTTTGTATGGGTGAGTTGAAAGAGAAAATACGACTAGGCATTCGATTGATGAGATATGCCGATGTTAGAGTGGCATCTCCCTAGAATGTCTTTGGCATGTTTGTAGTGAACATTAGAGTACGAGTAACTTCAAGTAGATGTCTATTTTTTCGTTCAGCAATCTCATTTTGTTGGGAAGTGTTGATACATAAACTTTGGTGGACTATTTCNACTTCAAGTAGATGTCTATTTTTTCGTTCAGCAATCTCATTTTGTTGGGAAGTGTTGATACATAAACTTTGGTGGACTATTTCATGTCTTTTCAGGTAGTCTTGTAAAGTGGTGTTGAAATATTCTGTGTCATTATCAGTACGTATAATTTGAAGTTGTGTTTGAAATTGTGTTTGAATCATAGAGTGAAAATTTATTAGTATTGTGCGACCATCATATTTTTCTTTGAGTAGATAGACCCAACACACTCGAGTGTGGTCGTCGATGAATGTGACAAACCATTTTGTGTGGGTACAATTGGGATCACGAGAAGGTCCCCATAAGTCACTGTGAATTATGGCAAATGGCTTAGATGGTTTGCATGTGGAATTTGGAAAATTTGTTCGTTGATGCTTTTCAATTCACAACTTTCACATTGAAGTTCAAATGATGTTTTATTTAAGAAAAGAGAAGGAAGTACATGCTTCAAGTATTGAAGACTAGGATGACCTATTCTATAGTGCCATAACAGAATTTCACTGTCCCTAGAAACAGACATGGAATTACAACTTGAAAATTGACGTAGCTTACTCATATTAGCTTCTTCAAAGTAGTAAAGTCCTTCACACTCTTTAGCATTACCAATCGTCTTCCTTGATGAAAGATCCTGAAAGACACAATATGATGGAAAAAATTTAGCTGAGCAATTGTAATTTTTTCAAGTTGCCTAACAGATAATAAGTTACAGGACAAATTTGGGACATGAAGGACTGATTCTAGCGTTAAAAATTCAGAGATTTTAATACTCCATTTTCCTGCAATAGATGAGAGTGAGTCGTCTGCAATTTTTACTTTAATGTTTCCAGCACATGTGGAGTATGAAAAGAATAAGTGATATGAGTCTGTCATGTGATCGGATGCACTCGAATCAATAATCCAAGAGGTTTTGTGTCGTGAAGTATTTAAGGCTTTCAAAAAATTACCTTTGTGAGCTAAAGAACTAGATGAACCTTTTGAGGAAGATTGACTAGATGTCTAGAGACTGGAAAAAATTTAGTAGAGTTGCTCCAATTGTTCTGAGTTAAATGTCCTGCTTGGAGTGGGATTAATGTTTGTCTCGGCTTGGTATCCTCGGCCTCTTGTGTTCTGCTTTAGTTTCCAGTCCACTGGTTTCCCGTGAATATCCCAGCAAGTGTCTTTTTTGTACCCCGGTTTGTGTCAATGTTCACACCACAGCTGTTCTCACTGCTGTTTTTGGTTGGGTCGCCTGGCTATCCCCTTATATAACAAGCCCAATGCTCCTTGTCCATTTTTAATTGCTGGTCCAAAATTTGTTTCACTTTATGGTCCACTTTTTATTTCATTTCCAAGCCCAAAAAATGCTGGCCCAGTTCCTTTTAAGCCTCCTGTTCCTTGGCCAAGATTAGCAGGCCCATTTTCTCTAAAGAATGGTGGCACAAAGCTGTGATTTCAAGGCCGATACTTCATTATTTAGTCCAGAAAATTCCTTCAACATGACCTGCTGCCGCGATACTTCATTATTCAGTCCAGAAAATTCCTTCGCGAGTAGAAGGTAGTGGTCGCCGGCCTAGAACACTACCTCTAACATCGTCGAGTTCTCGATTTATCCCAGCCAAGAACTTAAACACACTTTCATTCTCGACCTTTTTCTTGTATCGTGCACTATCATTTGAACACTCCCATTCTTCCTCCAAGCTAAGGTTGAGTTCCTGCCATAGGGATACCATCTCCATGTAGTATTCAGTAACATCCCTCGATCCTTGCTTAGTTTGCCACAAATGGGTTTTAATTTCGAAGATTTGTGATGCGTCCTCGGCGTCGGAGTATGTTTCCATCACGGCATCCCTCATGTCTTTGGCCTTGGAAGGAATAGGTAAATCTTCCCTAGAAAAGGCTTCATGGAATTTACTAGCCACGCTATCACCATTGAATTCTCGGATTTCCACCTCTGCAGACTCACAACATTGGTTGGTCTTTTTGTATCATCGGTAAGGTAACCCAATTTTCCTTGCCCGTCGATGACCAGTTTTATAGATTGGGTCCATTCTCGAAAATTTCTCCTGTTCAATTTTTCTACTGTGAGTTGGAATGAGGAATTTTCGAGATTATTGGATCCAATAGAAGGGTTGGCCTCTGCTTCAGGACTAGAAGTTTCAAAGGTCATTGATTCTTGGCTGTTGATGGGAAATTCAGCCATTGGTGTGCTAGGTTAGGACGATCTAGGCTCTAATACCATGAAGAATGAAACTTCTTTTATTTTTCAATGATTATTACAAATCTAATACAACCTATTTATATTACAAAGCATGGAATAAAAAAGGAAGACTACAATCTATTAAATAAGGAAATAAATCATCTAACCAATAATCCTACAACAATCCTATCAATTACAATATTCTCTGTGTCTTTCCATAACCGGTTTTCTACAAAATGCTAATTGCCTTTTATAGATCATCGTGTTCAGGCCTTGCAATTCTTGGCAAAGCTTCGGCAAGAGATAGCACTTTCTGAACTGGTATGTATGCATCCTTTGCCACCACTTGCAAGTAAGAATCAATGAGCTTTCCAGCTTTTCTAATTAATCTTAGCGACTGGTTTTCAGATGTACGAGTTCGTCTTTTCTAGTGCCTCAAGAAACTCTCCAAAACTGTCTTAACCAAATCATTGTCATAAGAAGCATTGTGATCATTAGACGATTGAGCAGGAAGCAGCAGGTCATTCAATGTTACCTCCTCAAATTGCATGCCTGATCGTCTTGTGAGTTCCGCCTTTGTCACGGCAGATGCCCCAAGAAAATTTGTGAGGCCAAGGAGTCTTATCATGAATCCAATTGAGACAGATCCTTTCTCAGCTGGAATCAGGCTCACAGCGGTCTAAAGAATTTTTTTTTCTTTCTAAAGAATTCTCAGCTTGAGAAGTTGAACTCTCTCTAGACCTACTCTTTGTGATGTCTGGTAGCCGACGACAAGTATACACATGCAGAGCTTCTTCAATTAGCTGCGGTGGTGAGGAAAGATATGTCCTCTGTCCACCAATCCTTTGAAACCGATTGATGGCGCCTTTTTTCATACCCTGGTCTAGTGTAGGTATAAGACCATGTAACCTGCATGTGGTCTCTCTCCACCTTAAAATTAAATTGAAGAACAATTAATGTAATTGGTTCAGAACAACATGGAATTGATTATATTATCTAGTATGTCTAACCTTCGCTGGAGGTGTCAGTATCTTTTCAACAATTAATTCAATGCACCTCCTGACTATGCCAAGATTTTCTGATCACTCAAACGACCTTCGAGTGTTTTGCAGTCTGATAGTGGAGTCCTTTCAACCTTCAAGAATGCAAGATGAGAAGAAAACCTCCAATCTTGAGACTAAGTTAACCTTTTCAGCTGCTTCAGTCATTTGAAGGAACTTGGAGGCACAACGCAGGTACAAAATTATGTGCACCGAGATTTATTGTGATGACTTGCACACAGCTCAAAAGCCTCGTCTCCACCAGGAATATCATGTAGCTCCAGGGTGATGTTGCTAGAATCTTCTTCTTCCAAGTCTGAGCAATGCTGTTGTAGTAGGTTGCTCTTTGGAACAAGAGGATACTACAGCTCAAAACAAAATCAGGAAATATCTGAGTGGTTTTGTCTTAAGATAGAGCTATTGCCAGCACTGCCTCAGTGGAAAAGCAGCGACTATTTAACAAGAAAGGAAGAAGGTATGCATATACTTTGATGCAAGACCAATAGGAATACCCAGTGGAGAATGAGAAAAC